TTACCTTCAACCCTATCAGCTCCCGGCAGGTAGACAAATACTTGTCAAGAATTGACAGTAAGAAAGCAACAGGGCTCGAACCTCTCTGTTAAGATACTAAACAAGGTAAAACCAGCCATCATAGAACCTATTACTTGTATTATAAATGAAATGTTAAGAGGCAGCTCTTTCCCAGCTGCTCTTAAAGAAGCACGCATATCACCAATTTAAAAAAAGAATGATACCTTGATTAAAAGGATAACTACAGACCAATAAGTATATTACCCATAGTATCCAAACTGTTTGAGAGGGCAATTGCAGACCAACTAAGTCAGTGACCACTTTCGGGAACTCTTTCACCCATACCTCTCAGCGTATCGCAACGGGTACAGCTGCCAATCCGCTCTAATAGCGCTGACAGAGGAGTGGAGATGGGCTCTCGATCGGGGTCATTTTGTTGGTGCTATCTTGATGGATCTGTCGAAGGCTTATGACTGCTTGCCTCACGCACTGATTTTGGAAAAGCTAAAAGCATATAATGTGGACAACAGTGCTGTAAATCTTATTATTATACAAAGCTATTTGACAGATCGCAAACAATGTGTATGCATGGGAAATCGTTACAGTGATTTCCTATACCTACAAAAAGGAATACCACAGGGATCCATACTAGGTCCACTGATATTTAACATATTTATAAATGATATATTTTATTTTATGAATGATGCCAGTTTATGTAACTACGCAGATGACAATACCATCTCCTACTCTAGTGAAGACTTCCTAGATATGAAACAGACCCTCGAGACTGAGGCGGAGATGCTGATCAATTGGTTTTCCAAAAATCAAATGCAGGCAAACCCTGCCAAGTTTCAGGCGGGGGGACGGATATTAAATGCACTGATGAAGTAAAATTGCTGGGTGTGACCATTGACGTTAAACTCAACTTTGGTGGGCACATTTCAAAGCTTTGTCAAAAGGTGGCCAGGCAAATAAATGCACTGAAACGTATCGGACGGCATCTGCCTGTTAGTTGCAGGAAAATAATATATTCGTCTTTTATCAGCTCAAATTTTAACTTTTGCCCTATTATATGGCACTTCTGTGACAAAGCAAATGAGAAAAAGCTTAAAAAGCTCAATTATAGAGCATTAAACTTTGTGTATATAATGACTTCAGCAGTGACTATGACAGCTTACTAGCTAGAAACAAATTAGTCAGTCTCAAACTACAAAGACAAAAGCTTATAGCCATTGAAGTTTTTAAAATTCTCACTAAAGATCGGCCTGTATACCTCCATGATCTTGTTGTAAAGAACGAGTCCAGATATAGTGTTAATTACCGTGTACACACTACACATCCCACGTTTCGAAAGGGCCACTTGTGGTAAGAAAAGCTTAAAGTATGAAGAAGCTAGAATATGGAACGATTTGCCGAAATGTATATGTCGGAGTGAGAACTTCAACGTGTTTAGAAGGCTACTTGAAACGTGGGGTGGGTACAGATGCAGATGCTCAATGTGTCGCTAATTGACATGTGATATATTGATATATTGTTTTTAAAGGCAACTGTGAATATGTTTTAATTGCTACCGTTACTTTTCAGTAGTTAGATTACATGTTTAATTACTATGTATTTGATCTTGATCTTGATGATAGTACTGCGTCGACCGCGTATATGCGTATTATCAGGAGTAAGATAATATAGGTAGGAGGAGTATCAGGAGTAAGATAATATAGGTAGGAGGAGTATCAGGAGTAAGATAATATAGATCCTATATTATCTTACTCCTGGTATTATGACG